ATACAGTGTGTGTGTGTGTGTGTGTGTGTACACACACACACACATAGATACACATACATAGCCTAAGACTGTTCCTGTCCATAGCGCAAATGGTTTGCAAGATACCATCCTCTCAACTATATTGATTCCATGGGTTGAATTGCTAGGAATAAAGCCATCTCTTGTTCCTTTTTGTGAGAAAAGTGTCTACCTTCTTCAACTACTATCTTCAGTTCCACTATCTCTGATGCTACAGAAGACAGTGCAATGGTTTCAGGTGGAAATGATGGTTTCTGTTGCCCCTTGGCTCTTGCCAGTTGCTTGCATCAGCTTAAAATTTATCATGTAATATCCCCCAGATGTGTAGCTGCTTTTTCAACTAGTAATATTCTTTGTTCCCATGGCTCTCCCAAGGATGATCCAACTGGATCCTCAACTGTCCAGGGACAAATACAATATTTTATAAATGGATAGACTATATCCAATTTTTCTTTGTACCTATTGACTCTTTTATTTTCAGGTGGCATATGCAAATGTTTACTAGCAAGATATGGACATGGAGCTAAGAGCTAAGGAGAAGAATAAAGAGAAGAGGGAGTATATGTATAATCTCTCTTATAAAAGTGGGTGTTATTTATTGTGTTCAGGCTTCATGTTTAAAAAAAATCTGGTTTGTTCCCCTTTGAGATAGAGAGAAAGCTGTGAGGTATATTTGCTAACAGAATTTGCTTTCAAATTATTGCATTCTGAAAACGAAACACTTTTCAGGATGCAATAATTTTGGGTATCATCCGTTCATTTACTAAATCAGTGGCAGATGTGTTGCAAAATTCTTGGTCCTGGAACCATCTTAAAGTTGCCAAGGTTGAGAAATACTGTTCTGGGTGGTGGTGGTCTTGGCAACTTTAAGATGTGTGGACTTTAACTCCCAGTATTCCTCAGCCAGCTGGCTGAGGAATACTGGGAGTTAAAGTCCACACATCTTAAACATCTTAAAGTTGCCAAGGTTGAGAAATACTGTTCTGGGTGGTGGTGGTCTTGGCAACTTTAAGATGTGTGGACTTTAACTCCCAGTATTCCTCAGCCAGCTGGCTGAGGAATACTGGGAGTTAAAGTCCACACATCTTAAACATCTTAAAGTTGCCAAGGTTGAGAAATACTGTTCTGGGTGGTGGTGGTCTTGGCAACTTTAAGATGTGTGGACTTTAACTCCCAGTATTCCTCAGCCAGCTGGCTGAGGAATACTGGGAGTTAAAGTCCACACATCTTAAACACCACCACCACCCAGAACAGTATTTCTCAACCTTGGCAACTTTAAGATGTGTGGACTTTAACTCCCAGTATTCCTCAGCCAGCTGGCTGAGGAATACTGGGAGTTAAAGTCCACACATCTTAAAGTTGCCAAGGTTGAGAAACACTGACCCAGAATAACCACAAACAACATCAGAAGTAGTAAAAGCCTGGCAGATGAGTACCAAGAGGAAGAGTAAACTGTTGCACTGAGCAAAACTATGCATTGTTCTGAAAAACTCTGTTGCCGCCAGATGGATTTGATGTCCATGTGAAACTGCATGTCAGCCAGCTCAACCAATGCTATTGGTCAACTTAACCAAATATCTGCTGCATTATGGGTTGTGGGCAATGAGGATGAGAGAGTAAGGTGAACCTCAGCCTGTTGATTCCTAGCTGGTGTTCAGGATAGAGAAGGTGGAAGACCATCTTTTCTTTCTCTATTACTCCCTTTTATCCAAACCTTTTGCTTTGAGCAAGTTTGCGCACTAGCACCACCAAGGATCAAGATTGTATGAGGGATGTAAACAGTGGGATATGAGAAAGAAGAGGGGGGGGAAGGAGTTCGGATGTGTTCCACGCAGGGAAAGTTTCAGCACTGATGCCTG